GTGGTGATGGTTGTATAACATGGTGAACACAATGTCACTGGGCTTCTGTTCAGGGTGATGGGAAAATGTAGCCATTGGTAGTGGTGATGGTTGTACAACATGGTGAACACAATGTCACTGGGTTGTACATGTGAAGAGTGGCGAAATGGCAAATGTTTAGTTGCATATAGACTTACCATACATAATTGTTTTAAAAAAATCAAACAAAACAAAATATAAAATGAAACTGTTCTTTTCCTTCAATGTAGAGTCTGTAATAGCCTTCTCATTGATAGTTTGACTAAGTCAAGCTTCGTGAAAACTCAGTGCTTCTAGCACTGTAGAAGAGGAAGGAACTCAGTTGCAGTGCTCAGGTGACAACGTTTGGCAATCAATGCAGATCCTAAAGAGAGGGTGCTGGGCTGTAGGAAGACCCAAGTTATTCCTCCTTTGTTTTCTTTCAACACAGGGTACTTATTCACCCTCCCTTCCTACAAACGCGTCTTCTCCCCTGCTATGCTCCTGTCTACCACCTTGCTATATCAGAATGGGATTTTGACTTTCTTTGTAGACGCTGCTTTCAGATACTTGTGCAAGCTAAGAAGATTAGACCTTTCCTGCAACAAGGATCTGGGTGGAGGTTTTGAAGACTCACCAGCTGGGCTGGCCACATTAGGTCATCTGCAAGTCCTCGATCTGCACCAGTGTTCACTGACAGGGGACGACGTGGTGTCGCTGAGTAAGTGTCCACTGCAGAGCAAGGGGAGAACTTGTGGAACTGGAGCAGATGTTTGGAAACTTGGCAACTTTGAGATGTATCTTTATTTTTAATGAATTTATTGGGAAGATTCAACCATAAAAGTTCTGTGAATGACAGTATTGTTGTTATTGTTACAATGACAGTATTGTTGTTGTTATTAAGTGCTAATAGTGCTTATTAACCCATAACACCACACTGGGAGTCCTGGTATGAAGCTGTAGGTTAATGCGCTGGACTGCCAAGTCCGTTTGAACTGCAAGATCAGTGGTTCAAGCTCACCAGCTTCTCCTTGGAAACCCTACACAGGGTTGCTATGGGTTGGAACTAACTCGATGACATTTAACAACAACAACATAGGGTTTGTGAGGAACAGCTGGTGAGATTGAACTGCTGGCCTTGGCGTTCACAGTCCAGTGCTGAACCTACAGCATCACACCAGGAATCCAGTATTGTTGTTACAAGTTCTAGGGTAGGTAGCACTGTAGGATCAGCACTGGACTGCTAACTTCAAGGTCAATGGTTCAAACCCACCAGCCTCTCCTTGGAAACCCTATACAAGGTCACTGTGATCCTACAGCATCACACCACAAATCCAGTATTAGGTATATATTAAGTGCCTAGTAAAAGTTGTTGGTGTCATTGAGTCAATTCTGAATCATAGTGACCTTATACAGGATTTCCAAGGAGTGGCTGGTGAGTTTAAACCACCGACCTTGTGGTTCAAACCAAACTTGTCTTCCAGTGGTGAATCCGTTGTTGTTATTATGTGTCGCGGAGTAGTTTCCAACTCATAGTGACCCTGTGCAGGGTTTCTGAGGGTATAAATCTTTACAGGAGCAGAAAGCCTTATCCTTCTCCTGCAGAACAGCTGGTAGTTTCAAACTGCTGACCGTGAGATTAGCAGCCCGATTCGTAACCACTACCCTACCAGAGCCATCTGTAACTCATAAATGTTGCACTTGAAGGAAAAATTTTCTACATGTATAGTACATTTAAGATAGGATTCTATTAGGGTCACAAAGTTAATTCAGTCTATAGACAGTCAAGATGAAGAATGATAAGGCTTTCTGACTAACAAGTAGAGTTAAACCACTTAGATAAAACTGAAGTTACAGAAGAAAAAAAATAGTGGGGCAGTACATAATGGCTGTATAACAACTTTAGGTAGCTACATTCACTTTTCTACCATTGACATGTTGTTGTTGTTAGATGCCATGGAATTGGCTCCAACTCATAATGACCCTATGTACAACAGAATAAAATAGTGCCCAGTCCTGTCATCCTGACATGTTTGAGCCCAGTGTTGTAGCCACTCTGTCACTCTATCTTGTTGTCCACTGACATTCTGCTTTGCCAAGCATGATGTCCTTCTCCAGGGAACGGTCCCTCCTGATAACATGTCCAAAGTACATGAGACCCAGTCTCATGATTCTTACTTCTAAGAAGAATTTGCCTGTATATCTTCCAAGACAGATTGGTTTCTTCTTCTAGTAGTCCAAGCAAGGTACTTCCAGTGTTCTTTGACAGCAACATAATTCAAATGCACCGATTCTTTTCCTGTCTTCCTTTTACATTATCCAGCTTCATCATCAGCGAAGCGCTTCCTTCCTGACCACCCTACTCAATGTAGCAAATCCCTAGCTTCTTTCTAATCATTTTCTAGCCCTCTTGCCCAACTTCCTCACTACTCAAATTATCCTGCATGGACCAGCAATATCAGCATCCCCTGGAAGCTTCTAGAAATGCAGAATCTCAGACCCCATCCCAGACCTACTGAAATTAAATCTGCATACTTATGTGCCCCAAGTAAACCTTATGCCAGTTAATATTTGAACAAACATTGGCTAAACTTCTGGTTTCAGACCAAAATGGAATGGATGGGCTTCTTCCTAATCTTCCTGCTATGTTTCACTGAAAATCTTGGATGTCATATAGATAAAGCAAACATAAGAAAACTCTGAAAGATAGAGATATTATCAATTGAAGCCATCTCTCTCATTCTATTAGACACTCTACCGTTAGTTAGGGACTTGTGTTAAGGAGCTCTGATGATGCTGTAGAGTAAGCATTGAACTGCTAACCACAAGGTCAGCAGTTCAAACCCAACAGCTGCTTCATGGGAGAAGATGAGGCATTCTGCTCACGTAAAGATTTATAGCCTCAGAGACCAATAAAGGGTCGCTATGATTCAAAATCAACCTGATGGCAGTGGATTTTTTTGTTTGTTTGGTTTTGGATCGTTTTAGAGAGATGTTGACTGTAGATTTCTACCATGAAAACTGTCATCAAGCTGAGTTTTGAATCACAAGCCAGCCCCACAGAAATGACATTACATTCCCTACATTGCTAAGAAGCAGGGCAGGAAAAATAGTAGGAAGACTTGCCTCGACATAGTTGTGTTGTTCACGAGTGTTTGGTTCACAAGGAGGGGAGATCCAGCGGCAATAGAGATAGCAAAAGAGACGCAGAGACGCAAAGAGAGAAACAAAGAGACACTCCAAAATCAGAGTGAATGCTGGACTGGCATCAGGCAGATCCTGCATTGCAAACATCTCAGCCATGAAGGCCGTAATATCCTGCATAGTAAACATCTTAGCTAAACAGGCAGTATGGTTGCAAGGCTGGACT